TATCCATTAGAAAAATAATTGAAATTAAACCTAAAATCATAGGACCAAAGTGGTAGGTTAAGCACCTATGTATAAACTACGAGAAGAAAAATAAAAGTAAACGCTAAATATAATTAATATTTAATAATTGATTATTAATAATTAAATTCAATTTGGTTGTTAATTTTGTCTTCTTCTCATTAAGTTGTACCCAGTAAACCAATAAGACTCCGTCGTTTGATTCCTTTAAATTTTGAATTATATTTAATAAAATTAAACTAAATTTCCGTTGAGAGCTACTCGTTGACTTTTGCTAATCCGTTGACTCCGAGTTTCTATTTAAAGGCATCGATTTTCACTTCAGCTTTGCAAAAGAGACCATTTTCTCTGTGTCTCTGTTGAAAATGGAGTATTCAACGACGTCGTCTAAGGACAATGCAAAGCCAGCCGCCTCTTACCCCACCCGAGGAATCGGACATCCACCGGAGGTATATCCTCCACCACCAAACTACGGCGGCGGATATCCACCTGCAGGATATGCTCCGCCGCCTCCAATGCCTGGATACGGTGGATATCCGTCGCCGCCACCACCGTACGGCGCGTATCCACCGCCGTACAACACTGGGCCCTACGCTCCACAAGCCTACGGTTATCCACATCATCCGCCACCGCCGCCGGCTTATGTTTATGGTCCACCACTGCCGGGATATCCGCCAGCGACCAATGCTCCAACGACGGGTAAGAAAAAGAAAGGAAAGAGTAAAATGCTTGGATTAGGAGCGGGGTTGCTCGGTGGAGTTGTCGGAGGGCTTTTGCTCGGCGATTTTGCGGCGGATGCTGGGGCGGCAGCGCCGTCGTTTGAGTTATTTTCCGATGCCACCGGCGGCGGATTTGATCAATTGTGCGATGCAAGGATGCAATCTGTGTCCGATAGCATTGATTTGCTCGGAACCATTGGCTGATATAAAAATATTATTATATCCCACAATTGTGCTTTTCTGCAATTTATTATTTATTTTCTGCAGTTTTTTTTTTTAAAAAAAAAAAATTTATGAACATTTATGGCATGGCTTTAATTTATATTTTGTTCGTCCTTGTTTGGGCAAGTTTGATGTTTAAATGTGATTGACTAAGTTAAATGTTTAAATGTGTTTGCCCTCTCTCTATCTACACATATTAACACCCGTGTTAGTTACGAATTTAGTCAAATACATAGTTAAAAAGATAATCGAGAATGTTAAAAATATACGGCTTATACATTGTTTATGAGATTTGTTTGGGTCATAGACGAGGATAAGATCAACTTCAATGTATATCTATTTCAGCTCAATAATTGTTAAAGTGAGAGAATCAAAGCATCAACTTTTAGAATAAAAGGAATATTCAATTATTTATCTTACCCGATCCATAATTTTAGCTTGCTAGTTGACTTCTCTTCATCAACAACCGACCAACAGTTACTAGCTTAATAAGATAATGCCTCGAGGTAACCACGACATATTACTTGCTTACCACCTTACCTTCTTGCGAAAACGTTGCTGGTGTGAAGCAGACTTGGGATAATTTATTTAATTTTTTTTCTTTTTTCTAAACTTTATTCTCTCCATTTTCGATATGAAACTCGGAAGAATTGTGAGTCAGAAGCTCTCTTTCATTTTTGCTATAGAGCTCGTAGCCTCAATTGTCGTTGTAGATAGACATAGATCTTTCTAGAGACATTATAAATAATATATAAATAAAAATACAACTCTCATTTGTTTGGTAAAAAAATTCAAAAAATTATGGGAGGTTATTTTAATTGAATTGGTCAATAATGATATTAATCTATAAAATAAAAAAAATATAACATAAATATATGAGAAAAATGTAATTTATTAAGTCAATTTAAACGATAAAAATTCTAATTACCCACTTTAATTAGGTTAAAATGAGTTTTGATATATTTTTTCAATATAAAATTGAGGAGTTAATTCTTAATTATTGATATATATATATATATATATATATAATATAATATAATATTATAATGATAATAATGATAACAACCTTTTGTGATAAATAAAAAGAACTAACAAGTCGTGGAATCTGTCACAAACGTGTTGATGCCTTCCAATCTTCCTTCAATTTTTTCTTTGAGAGGTAAAGTCGTTTAAAATATATATATATATATATATATATATATATATATATATATATATATATATATATATACATATAATTAATTAATCTGATGTGTACATTGTGTTTCACTCCAAGTATTAAATTATTGTCTCCAACGACATTATAGAAAATATATTTAATTTTAACATTTTTCATTTTAAAAAAAAAAGATATTATTACCACATTTTAAAGCTCAACCTATTTGATTTCGTGATAGGTGGTTAATATTAATCTAATGAGTGAAGTCATCGTTGTCTGACCAATTGACTCAGACACGAGACCGCACGTGCCTCCCTCATAACCACACAGGCTAGCCTTAAATGGAATGACCCTTTTAGTTTTGTTGCACCGATTTTCATGTCTACTTTTCTTACCATTCAATAAGTTGACTTTGCCAACATTAGGGTCGTCCCGTTCATTATATAATGACTCCGATGGTGTACCTGAGTCGAAGTGGGCTCAACAATCAGTCTAGATTTTCACGTGCTTCCTCCTTACTCCAAAGTTTTTTTTTTCTTTGTTTTTGTGGCTAATTTTTTAAAAAATAAAATCAATTCTATTTCAATTTTCTCCTCCTTGCCCTCATCTCTAAATTTGCAATTTAGTTTACAAAATTAAAAATAATAATTCAAAAATATTTATTTTGAATCATAAAATATAATTTCGATATATTTTAATGAGAGAAAAAAAAAGTAAACTGAGACTCGGTCGTTTTATTTCTTCCCATGTTAGTATTTATCATATTTTTTTGTTTAATATTTTATAATTAAATAATGAAACACTAAATATTTGTTATCTTTTCTTTGAAATTATAAAAATATCCTTAAATTTTTGAGTAAATTTCAATTACGCCACTAAATTTTATAATATTTTATTTTCACCCTTAAATTTTAAATTTGATTTATAAACCATTCCAAAGTTTTTTAAATTTATAGGGACACTGATATATAAAAATAGATTATGCATTTGAAATGAAATATATATAGTAACAATGATTTTAGTATTTTATAATAATTATAATTCTATTATATTCATATTTTAATTATTATACAATAGCTATTAAATTAATTTCCATCCGTTATTTGATGGGAATTTTTTTTATTTTTTTAAATGAATTTCAAAACTATCTGTCTAATTTTTATAAAACTAAATTCTGTAAAATAAAAAATAAAAAAAAATTATAAAAAAAAAAACGGATAAAACTCGTTTTGAATTTTGAATATAAATTTGGCGGGAAATTCGTCAGTGCCTCGACGGCGTCGTTTGGTGCTGGTATCCTCCACCGCAACCAGCGGCTGGATTTCCTCCGCCGTATACTCCGTACAACACTCCACATTATGGATATTAACAACCACCCGGGTATCCGCCAGCGCCGGTTGTAGTTGAAAAGGAGAAGAAATCGGGAATGAGTAAGATTTTAGTAGCGGGAGAGGCATTGCTCGGTGGATTGGTTTGTGAGGTTTTAATAGGAGAAATGGCTGCAGATCTTGGACCGCTTACTTACACCGGGGGTAATGGCCGACCCTCCTGTGACATCGGCACATTCCTACAATCTTAGTTAGTTTTGGGTTCGAGTGACATTTCACCCCTATCCACAGTTCATTTATTGTAAGTGCTCTATGTCGGCAGACAACTCTCATTCTTCTTGCCACCTCGATATCTCTCGATTGCCCGTCTATGCCTTTGCCACTGTCACGTCTCTACCATCCATGCTGTTGATGTATGCACGTTTTTATGGATTAAATGTGTATTTGAGAAAAAGTAGAAATCATCCATAAACAATCTCTACAAATCTCGAATTTTTTGAATTTTAAAATTAGAAATGAAAGGACAAATTTGTCCTATTACAAATTTCTGACCTAAAAATCTTAAATTTCATTCCTATTTAACCTCAATTCAGTTGGGGTTCACTAGTGTACTAATTTTTATCAAAACAATAATAATATAAAAAAAGATTCACAAACTAATTGATTTTGGATACAAAGATGGTGCTGGTAAAACGTGTCATTCGTAATGCAAAGAAAGAGATCACTACTTTACTTATTTGTTGGACCGCCTGTGTGAAGAGAGTCGTCTCTGACCAGGACTAATAACCCATTCTTTTGTGTTGGACCACCAGTACAAAGAGAGTGGTCTCTGACCTGGACCTATAACCCATTCTTCTTTGTTGGACCGCTAGTGCAAAGATAGTGGTCACTGACCAGGACTAGTAATCCATTCAAATTTAGATCTTGATATATCTGTAGGCATCTTATATCATAAATTAAGTGAGGCAATATGATGAAATTTGACTGATAAGGTAATAAATTTGACTTGTGCACAATTAAATTAATAAATAACTTAAAAACTTCAAAATTTTGAATAAAATAAAAATTTTTAACGTTTTTCTCAACAAAAAAAATAAATAAATAATAATAATAATAAATTAATTAAATTAAATTTAGTAGATAATTAAATTTATTTGAACGATATTTAGAATAGATTGTTAAAATTGCAATATTTAAGATTAAAATTACATTATGAAATTGAAAGATAAATTAATTTTTTTATTTCATTTTTATTTGTTCGTTTTAATTTTTAATTGGGAAAAATGTTGCATTATTGGGTGTTTGTAAATCATGCTAATCGAATTAAAATAAATAAATAAATCACATTCATCATTTCAATTTTTGCGCCATGAAAATCTCTCTTCAATCTGTCCTTTTTTTCTCCTTTCGCAATCCTTTCATACAGACCTCTCTCTCTCTCTCTCTCTCTCTCTCTCTCTCCATTTCTCTTTCCCTCGACGCATTCAATGGCGGCTCTTCGATTCTCCACTAATTTAACCGCCTTTTCCAGGTCTTTTTCGTCTCTACTTTCCATTTGTGTAATAATCTATTCCACATCGTTTGGCAGTTTGAATGATCCGTGAAATCGACGTTTCCCTGGAACACGAGGCTTCTTTAATTTTTATTCTCTTTGCTTCACTCGATCGCCTGGATTTATAGCGATATCGTTTCGCTTGTTTTCTGTATCTGTGAGGATTGGATTTTGTTTTTTATTAGTCGTTAGCGGTTCTTTTGTGTATCGCATTGATCTTGAAAATGTGCGTTGTATTGTGAAGTTTGAGTTCTTCGTTGTTTGTATACCTGATGTTGAGGTCGTCGATGTTTTAGGTTTTTGTTCGAACCTGAGGAGGTATGGTTTCTCCGCCGATGGTGGAGCCAGGACAGTTGAAGCGCGCGATGATCGATTCGACGGCTGGCGCAATTGCTGGTTGTGTGTCTCGGACGGTCACGTCTCCTCTCGACGTGATTAAGATCAGGTTTCAGGTCGATTTTGGTTCCATTTGCTGCAATTGTTTGATTTTTTTAGGAAGAGTATAAGAGAGAAGAATGAAATGTTAGCCGCGAATTAAGATTTTATGTTTATTGGCTGTAAGTGCGAAATTGAACATCATGTTTTTTTCTCCTCCCGCGAAGAAAGAAATAGTGATGCTGGATGAATTTGTGGTTTTATAATTTAGTTGGAAGTTTCAATCTGTTGCTGGTCTCAAAATTGATAGCGATTTTTTTCTTTCTTCGATGTTGTTCATTTCACTTCTTTTCAGCGTTCTTCTATGGCTTTTTCTTGCATAGCAGGTTAGAGGTGTGGATATGCAGATTTTGTTTGTTCCAACTTCGAACTGAACTCTTTACGTATGGAATTTCCTATGTAGAAATAGTTTCTTCATTTCAGGCTTTGCAATTAATGTAACTGTCATCTGCTGCCAAATGTAGTTTCATGTAGAATTCATTGATTGTTAGCTTCCTTGTTTTGCATTTTTCTGCGAGGGATAAACTCTCAATCCTGCTTGCTGCGGAGTAAATTTCCAGTGCCATTGCCTGCTATGCTACGAGAGTTCTACTCTTAGTTTTGCATATCTGTATCTCTCCGTGTAATTTAATTACACTGTGATGAATGCTTATGTTCATGTTCGTTTTGTAGGTTCAACTGGAGCCGATAACTTCATGGGCTTTGGTTCAAAGAAGTTTGTCTGGGCCATCAAAGTACACCGGCATGATCCAAGCAACAAAGGATATTTTCAGGGAGGAAGGCTTACCGGTATGCTTGTTTAAAAATCATGTTATATGTATTCTCCAATCAACATATTATGTCGATCAGCTTGATTATCAGTCCCCTTCATGAAAAGATGTAGTGTAGGAATGACTGCAATTGGCACTTTATTGTTTTACATTTAGAAAGATATATGAGGTTTCATATATATATATATATATATATATATATATATATATATTTTTGCGGGAAGAGATACTTGAGCAAAATTATGTAGTGTCCTTAATAACTAATAATGGAGGAATAGGGAATGAGAACAAGGAAGAGGAGTGTTGATGTATTTTCTAATCAAATGGTCTTGAAAGCTCTTTGATGAAACCAATGAGACGTCGAACGAAGTAATTGCAAGTATGGAGATTGGATGAAAATTGGTTTACAAAATAAATATTGATTGGTAGCTAATTCAGAAAAAATCCACACAACGTTGCCTCTTCAAACAAAACAGGGATTTGACGAAAGCTTACCCGGCATACCTCTTGCACACATACAGTGCTCAGGGCTGATTAAAAAATCCGGATGAGAAAAGCTTTATTCTAATCCACCGTTTACTTCATTCTTCGTTTACTTGTGACCTAATTACTACTTATTAAATCATACTAATACTGTGTCATACTTGATTGAGTAAAGCTTTTAATTTGTATTAATTGCCTTTGAAGGCTTCCAATCCTTATGGCTTGTTTCTGTACATTTGTATGCTGCCTACAGCCCTATTCTTGTATCATCAGAAACTAGCATTGTGCACATATTTAGTGACTCGAATCCCTATAATTTCTGAATGTTTTTACCATTTCACCTTTCATTGAATCTGATGAGTGACATAGAGAATATTTTTGTTTACTTGGAGAGATTCCACTTCTATTCAACTTTCTTCAGGATATACTGTGGCGTCATATACTTCCTAGTTTTTTTTTTTTTTTTCCTCCCGACAATTGTATCCTCAAACAAATATTTCTTCTTTCTTTAATTCAGAGTTATCTTTTGTAGGGCTTTTGGCGTGGTAATGTTCCTGCTCTGCTCATGGTTATGCCATATACAGCTATACAATTTACCGTGTTACATAGAATGAAAACATATGCTGCTGGTTCTTCTAAGACAGGTACTATATAGAATATAGCCAATACTTCAACTATTTTAGGCATATACCTTCGACCAACACGTTGCTGCATACTACACCCACACGAGGAGTGGTGGTTGAAGTAAAAAGAGACTGCAATATGGATAAGGTTTAGGAGGGATAAAATAAATGGTGGATATAGATTTAAGGTGCTCCTACAAAATCATATCTAATTATTTTGAGGTTCAATCATAGTGACCATCTAGGATAATACCATTCAAGTAATAGGCGATAAAAATGTTGGAGGATCAAACCATTTCCTGGCCTTTGCCTAAACTATTCAGACACCCCTAGTTATAAAAGTAAAAATTAAGGATAAATAAATGCCTTCTCCCTTCCTTCATCCCCTCATCATGTGGCAATTTCGCTGAGACCTCTTCATTAGTTGGGGGAAGAATCTGCACGAATCGAATTTTTTGAGGAACATATCAAGAGAGAATTGAGTTTGGTTAGACAATGTGTGGTCGGTAAACAAGGATCGGTTTTTTAGCAAATTTTGAGATCTCCTCATCCAATTTTCTTGCTGGAAACCAGATAGTTGATGCTTTGTTTGGTTACATAGGTTCCTTTCTTCAGATATTAGATGCTAAAACTACTTGGCATGCAGAATAAACTTGCTTCTGTTTTTATTTATTGATATTATCTGGTTTTCATCTGATGCAGAGGTCCACATACAATTGAACCCTTATCTTTCTTATATCAGTGGGGCACTGGCCGGGTGTGCAGCAACTGTTGGATCATATCCATTTGATCTTCTTCGAACGATATTGGCATCACAAGGTGAACCTAAGGTATTGAATTTGATGAACGACTCATTTTATCTTATGTCACGAACTGAACTGTGTAGAATATATAAAGCAATCAATATATTGTCCCACCCTGTATAGGATATAGAAATACATTATATTCTTTTTCAGAGAAAGGGAATGAAGAAGATAGGTGTCGACAAACGCGTACAAACAATTTTATTTGAGCATCAGCTTCTTATAATCCTTTTATTTCCATGACTCTTTGCCAAGAAGCCTTTTGAGTCTTTGTTTCAGTGTCGATAATTTACAATTTTCGATCGAATCAGTACTACGAGTACCGATGTAGTTAGTAACTGAGTAATGTGGCTATAGCAACAAATGCTCATTGCATCTGCACATGCAGTTTTAGTAAAAGATTTCTCTTAGAATGTTTCTTGATGCAAGAATGATGAGCCTGCTTAAACATGCAGATTTATCCATCCATGAGGTCTGCCTTTATTGATATATTCCAAACCCGGGGGTTTCGAGGACTATACGCTGGATTGTCACCTACACTTGTTGAGATTATTCCATACGCGGGTCTACAGTTCGGCACCTATGACACGTTCAGGCGATGGACTATGGCAAGTTTACTGTACCATTGTTGTACATGTTCTTTGCTTTCTTTTCTCATAGTTTTCCTTGAAATGATTTTACAGTCCTGGAACCACCGCCACTACCCTAATTCTGGAGCAACTAATAGGAAAGATGGCCTTTCAAGTTTTCAACTTTTACTTTGCGGGTTGGCTGCTGGGACTTGTGCAAAACTTGTTTGCCATCCACTTGATGTGGTTAAGAAAAGATTTCAGGTACGTTTGCTCTCTTTGTTATTAATATAATGTTCATTAAACATTTATATTAAATAGATTCATGAACTTTAAAAAAATTTAAATTTTTTTAATGAAGCTTTGGAATTTTAAAAAGTTTATATTGAAGCGTTTTTAACTTTTAAAACTTAAAATATAAGCTTTTAATTTTGTGTCTAGTTAGTTTTCGATCTATTTAACATACGAATTTATTGGACGCAAACGCAAAATCGAAAGATTAATGGAACGGTTAATGATTTACTTATTAGATGCAAATTTTAATCTAGATTGTAGACACAAACAACTAATTTATAATTTAATGTAGTTCTTTTTACATTTAGAACTCCTTCCGAATTTAATTTAAACCTTACTTCACTCTTATATATACACATATATACATATGTATATCTATTTATTAAAGAAGTTTTTAAAAGATTTAAAGATTTGGTTTATTTCATTTTTAATTGTTCCTACACAACCTTGTGAAAGGTATTAATTTCCATTTTATCAAATTGCACAGATCGAAGGGCTACAAAGGCATCCGAGATACGGGGCGAGGGTAGAACAAGATGCTTACAGGAACATGATTGATGCTTTACGGAGAATTATGAAAAGCGAAGGAACGGCGGGGCTCTATAAAGGCATCATACCCTCAACGGTTAAGGCAGCCCCTGCTGGCGCCGTCACATTTCTGGCGTTCGACACTATCTCGGACTGGCTTCTTTCTATTTCCTCATAATTTTTTTCCTTTCTTTATATATTTATTAAGTCACAAATAATTGCAAGTTTAGTTTCAGGATTTTGGACTCTTGTTTCAAACCTTACAAACGCAACTTCTAATCTCTTTATTTTGTTATTAATGTTATTTTATCGTTGTTCTCAAAATTCGAGCTAAATTTTAAATACTATAAAAATGATTTAATTTTTATTGTAAGAATTTAGTTAAGAATTTCAAAGATAAAAATAAAGATAAAAGACTGTGCAAGAAAACAAGAAAAAATATTAAAACAAGCAACATACATATAGACTTATAAACTACTACATAATTTTCTAAAGTTACCAATTTTAAAAAAAATCTAATAGGCACCCTTATCTAAGAATCTATTAGATATAAAATAAAATAAAAAAAAAACTTAATCAATTAGCATACCTAGACTATAAATTAAAATTGAGTCTATAGTCAAAACCTTATTAAAAATAAATTATACTTTTTAAAGTTTATTGACCTACTGAAAACAAAATTGAAAGTCTACGAATCTGATTGGTAATTAAAAAGGCATAGTTGAAAAACTCGAGAACTAAACTTGAAATTAAACCCATACAAAATAGGTTAAGACAATAAACTTGAAACTAAGATTTTTATTTATTTTTATTTATTTTTTTTATTTTTTTGTCCTGATGTAATCTGCCACCAATATAATTAAGAAGACAAAAATTAGAAGAGAATTATAAAAACCTTTATTTTTTAAAAAGCTCAAGGAGCAAATGCCCCTTCCTTTGTTTTCTTGGCTCCATTCCTGAAAGCAGTTTCAGCATGTTAAAAACGACATCCAAATTTTAGTACAGAAAAACCAAAATCTAAAGCTCAGTCCCAACAAACAAATAAATAAATAAGTAAAAATAACCTGTTATTTAGAACCCTTCTTTTTGTCTCGGAGACTGTCCTCTGGAGGCAGAGACAGAAACTGCAAAATCGTCCGTATTTGAGAAACGCCCACATTATACCTTTCAGCAATTTGGTTAACTCCCATTGGCCCATCATGATCATCAGCCTTCCCTTCGTGCAGGAGAATTATGTGGCGCATCTGTGCTACGTTTAGAGTTCCTGGTGGGGCTGGGCGATCCTCGTATTTACTCGATTTTAAATCTGTATTTCGTAGCTTTGGCATTGGTCTGTTGTACCTCTCCACCACGGAAGCCTATTTCATCATCAAAATCACACAAATTGGAAAATCGTCGCGCATAAAAGACTTGTTTTAAAATCGTAAGTTCTTAAATAGAGGGCATTGATCAAACACAATATTACAAACAGCAATTACATATATAGATAGATAGATAAATATGCACACATTCAGGAGACAGACATTTGATTAAAGAAGAAGGGAAGGGGCAATATCCAGAAAGCCAAAGAAAATAACGATCCCTTTGCCTAAATTGATTTGAATAAGGAGGATTAGAGAGTTCTCTTCCAAATCAAAGAACAAAACTAACCTCCTCAACAATAGTATATATATATATATACATACATACATATAACACTTCTGATTGATCTACCACCAAAGCTTTTGATTCATGAAAAGAAAAGGTAATAAGTAGTCCTAATCTCTGAGGCAAATTGAACTTTTTTATATTGTAGTGTAGCTTGGATTTTTTTTCTCCTAACAAATATAGAGACAGACTATTAAATTATATGCTTATGAAATCACGAATTTAAATTAGTGTCTGCTATAGTGATCGTTTATCAAAAAGATTGACTAGTTATCAAATGACTGGAGAAATTGGATGATATTTACTTGCAATTTATATTGATCTTTAAGAAATTTTTCAGTATAATTACACCAGCTGACTCTAGGACTGGTCAGACTTCAAGGATTATTAATGGAAAAAAGAATAGAGAGCACCGGAAGATGGAAGAAGTCTAAAATTTATATTCAATGCCTTATACTATAAAAAGTAATTCGGAAGCTTCTTATGGAAGCTTACCTCCCCCATCTCAAGTTTTCCTCCAGGCTTGGATCTAATTCGACCTGCCATTTGGCTAAGCATGGCATCAAACTGTGGATCTCGTTCTTCGAGCACATTTCCAGAATTACTTCCCAAGACGTCACCTGAATTAACAATTGGAATCGGTCAGCATTCAATATATTACATCCTATGAATCAATTCCCTTCAGAAAAAACAATCGCCAAACTGACTTTGGAGTGACGTTAGATACTGCTTTACGATTTACATGCATTATAGAAAGCTATTACTCAGATCTTTTCCTAATTTTATAGGCAATTTCCTCACCAATTCAATGTATACTACTCTTCCAGATTGACCTAAACTTACTTTGGAGTGACTTTTCACACTGCTTATCGATTTACATGCAGTATAGAAAGCTATTACTCAGATTTTTTTCCTAACTTTATAGGCAAATACCTAACCAATTTGATGTTTACTGCCATTCCAGATTAACCGCACAAAAAATCAAGCTCATTATCGAAATCTGATTATATAGAACTCGTAAGAATTCTATGGAACTGCATTTGGTTCAACGGAGAAAGAGAATCAAATTGCTATTTGGTTCAACGGAGAAAGAGAGTGAAATTGCTATTATGCTTCAGGAAAGAAAACAAAACCGTCCATTAATCTCTAGCATCCAGAGCATTTTTTTGGCCTCTATGCAACTTTTGCCTCAAGAAATACAACTAACAGAAATAGTGTAAAAAGAAGAAAAAAATCACAATCTGAGAAGCAAGTGAACTCAAAGTTCAGGACCAAAAATATCACATTAACCGTAACCAGAAGGAAACGCTCACATTAAATAGTAACCTCATCCATAGTTCTGCAAAATCAAACACTAAAAAGAAAGATAGACAATGGTTAACACTAACAAGAAGATATTCTTGTTCAGAGAGACAGAAGTCAACAAACAAAAACGAAATAGGTATTTAAGTAATGAACAAATCAACACTAAATGAACTTAGATTCAATTCCTAATGAAGAAATGAAAAAAGAAAAGAAAAAAAAAGCTAATAAGAGAAAGTGGAAAGAAAGGAAGTTGTAAAAAAAAAAAAAAAAAGTAATAATGAAGCTCGTTATCGAAATCAGATGATTTTAGAACTCGTACAATCCTACGAAGCTGCATTTAGTTCACCTGAGAAACCTACATAATCCTTCTTCGAGAACCTTCAGCCTCGAGTCTCAAAGTGCCAGAAGGAAAACTAGAACAGTAATCAAACAAATCCGAGAAAACGCCACCGGAAACGATTGACAAATTACAATTACCAGAATCAAGCGAGCCGCTCTCCCGAGCCTTCTCGGCCGCACGCGGTGGAGGCTTTCGATCTACGACGCTCTCCATTTTCAACGAAGAGGCAGAGGAGTCGATGCTCGAAGCCGGTTTTATTCTTCCAGCCGCTCGACGAAATGCCTGTCCCATCCTTCCTTCTTCGAAACGAACAACGATCTCACAAAACGAACTGGAATCAGAGATATAGATTCATACGAAATTCGTCAAGGAATAAGCGTAAAGAATCAAGAACCCTACTAGACGGAGGGTTTTACGACAAAATTTCAGGGGGAAATGGAGAGGAAATGTGGACTCGGTGAATCGGGACTCGGTTTTACTGAGTAGAAACTCGAGCCGCTACGGAGAGAACTTAAATAAAAGAGCGCTGGATGGCGAACGTGGCCGATCCGATTATTCTCCACGCAATGAAAACTTTGCGTGGTCATTGTTTATTTATACCTGTTTTTTTTTCACACCTCATTTAATGAAGCTTTTTGAAATATATATATATATTATAATTTATTAATTTTGGTAAAATTATTCAATCCTTCATTTTTGCCCCTATTCGGTTTCTTGATTCCGAGACGAACTCCACCGCATCTTTCTCATGCCGTTTCTCCTTCTCAAAACTATCTTCCCCACTGTGTCCTTCTATAGATGGGATTGCCTTTCTGATCACCTCTAATGCGGATTCTTTCCCGGGTATATGGGTCTCCCAGAACTGTCCTTAGATGGGATGGGGAAGATTCATTCATCGCGGTGGAATTTGATACCAGTTTGACCCTTCGCTTGTTGATCAACAGATATATAAGCAAGTATCTTTAACTTCCGTTAACGTTGTTGAAAGGGGAATTGATTTGATTTTTCTTTTAAATGGACAAATCAACTAAATTTGTAATATTTATATAACTTTCGTTCAAAAGAGTAATTTGACAAAAAAAATTTAAAGGAATAAAATGATATTTAATTTTTTTTTTTTTGAAAAACCAACCTTTTTTCCAAGCCATACTAGATTTCATAAACTAAAGTCGTTTCAAAGAAGAGATATATAAGTCTGATAGAATATATCGTTTGAACAACTTAGAACATATAAGATCATTCGAGATTAGCCCTACAATATAAAAGACAAAATAATAAATAAAAATGTAAATTTACCAACGACGATCCCGTAGAAACTCGACAAGAACACGAGAGACGATGAAATCCACGGAAACTCACAAGAACACGAGAGATGACGATCACCACGGAAACTCGACAAGAACACGATAGACAATGAACCCCATGAAAACTCAGCAAGAACACGAGAGACAACGAACCCCACAAAAACTCGGAAAGAACACGAGAGCAAAGGATTAGCTACGAGTTTCGGTTAGACTATCCAAGTGTTGTTGATGCATAGAAAAGAGAAGACTTCAAGAGTGATACCAATATATATGCCACAATAAATAAGACAAATCAAGAAGTAAATTCTTTTTGAGGGATTAAGTTTCAAGCTTAGATAACACCTCACTATTACTATTGCTATTACTGTTACTGTTACATGAACTAACTACTGCTCTATCTTCAATCTCTAATTTTTCAATGCTAATTCCCAAGTTCTCAGTAGGTCTTACCTTTGGACGAGCATGTCGTGGCGGCCTCATCATCGAGTTCCCTTCCAGGAATGGATCTTTATGCTTTCGCTTTTGCTTGACGTCCAACAATCCTAGAGCTCTTGCTTCCAGCGCTCGAGCTGTTGGGGGTCGGTTCCGACTACTGACTCTCCTCGAAGTCAGACAATGTTGCTGATCATAAATGCTTGGGACTTCAGAAGTTCTAGCTACACTGGGATGGTCTGGTTCCTTGCTTGTGTGGTCAGGTTGTTCTTCTCTCGTTTGAATTATAATAGGTTTGTCGGTTTTCGCGTCGAGAGGAACAGACAAGTTTATGTCTATTAAGGCACGAGACTGATTGAGAGAGATATCATTCGGGTTTCCATCATGGCTAGATATGGGACTGCATCCAGGCAGGACGTTCTTACTAGACCCGGGACCGTCTTTAGAGCAGCAGGCATTGTTTTTCGGTTTGGTAGGTACCGAAATATTACTTGTACACTTCGAACCAAAAGTGTTTAGTCTCCTGCGTTTTTTGGTAACATTAGAAGGCTTTCCTTTATTGATCGATCTCGATTTTTGGCCAAACTCGTGCACAATACCGTTCTGAGAACGCGTGCTATCGGATGGTATGCAGCTGTGTTCCTTCAAAACTTCTGCAGGTGAATCAGTAGAATCAGATGGAGAATAATGTCCATTCGAGTAGACCTTTTGTTTCTTGTTTCTTCTCCAGGCTCGAGAGGTACCAGCAGTTTCAGCCTTGCCGAAACGTCGGTCCTCTTCGGAATCAGAATCCTCCACTGACTCACTGGAAGAATATAGGTCGTTATTTTCAAAATGAGATCTCGACGTAGAAACGCTTAGTACGCCAAGTGGTAAGCTTCTAAGTTCTCGGACTTTTGATGCACTTCCATTAGCCAGACTGGTGTCGATCACAGTAAACTTCACAAAATCGGTGTTGGCTGGAGTTCTTGGTTTGAGATAACAATGGCGTTGTTGAGAAGGAAAATCATCTTGGTCAATTTTTGAGTCGTCGGTCCACCCATTTTCTTCCTTGCTCTTACTACCATTGTCGGCATTGTTGTCAAGCTCAAGTAGTCCAGGATCCAAAGCAACTTTACCAAGGACGTCGCTGACAGAATCGAAATAGTGATTTCCCCTTACCAGCCTTCTCCTCGAAAACTTTTTGATACCCGGGACGAGAAAGACCAATGAATGCTTTGCACCAGCAGTAAAAACATTCCTCGGCTGCTCGGAGTGCCATCCCCGAGCAAGCAAACGAGGCCAAACAGCTTCCCAAAAGAGATCATTCGATCGGGCTTTGCTCAACCTGAAATCACCTGTTAGATAGTTGACAATTTCCAAGGGAGTAAGGGCAGAACATGCTTTCCCAATTGGTATCTCGGGTCGGAGAGAAGAAACGTGATTCGGTTTTAATGGATCCATCGAAACTACTGTAAGATCTTGCTTCCCGTTACCAATCCCCACTGCCTCGACAAAAGCTTCCGTTCCAACCGTAGCCTTCAAAGCAAACACATACTCTTCAAAAGAACTTTTGCCATCACTGAACGCTTTCGTGACCTGACCGTGCAACAGAAACCGTACTTTCATTGAGAAAAACGAAAGAATAATCAAATGCAGTAAATAGTCTTGATTGAAGAAAAAGAAACATAGTCAATACCTCCATTAATGCATTCTTGTTACCCTCTGCTAAACGAGGAAGCAACCGAGAAACCAATTCCTGTAGTCTCCAACCTTTAAACAATCTCGGTCCGAAGATACATTTTCTGCGTCGAGCTTTCCGACAGTCAGACCATCGGCGGTATTTTTCCGACCGATAAAACCTTCCATAGTAGAACGACAGAACATCCCCCATCTGTTTGCTTCCAACAAACTTCTTCACCAAAACAAGGTTTTTCCCAAATATGTATAAACCAAGAAGGAAACTCGCCTCTTCTCCATCACTCCAAGGCTCACCCGAGACACCGGGAACCAGACAGCCGTCATCGGTATTATCCTTCTGATCTGTATCTGTCACAAGCACGGATTCTTTCGGCAAGGCGACATCTATTGTACTGCCTGTCGTTACTTCCGTTGCCTCAATGTTTGACTTTGCGCCATTGCCTACCTGTTCATCTTCAAATGATTCAACTTTCAAGACCTCATTTCTGTTGCATTTCTCAACTGTATCTTCACATAGCTTACGTTCCATCCGATGAGCTTGCTCGGAAATCCACATTACCCGAACGGGCAATCCAACAAAAACTTCATGGAGCCTACTATCCTGAATTTCTGCCTCCTTGCAACACTGAAACAAGTTTATATCTGATTTCAACAACAGAGGAGGAACTTCAACTTGATATTCGTCACCAACTCGAGGAGAAACCTCTGGTTCTGAAAATTCATCGCATATTTCAGAATTTTCCTGAGAAACCGACCGTTCGGGAGATCCATCCTCATTGTCATCGGCATCACCGTAATTTTCTTTGACCAAATCCATCTGCCAAAGAAAACAAACCTGTTTTAGCTCAACATATTCTGACCAAGACTTGCAGATTCATACATTCTCTTAACGATCTTTGCTTTGGATCGTTTTCCACTGCTAACATCTAGAAATCAACGGATGAAATTTCGAAATGACACAAAAAACTAAGACTCCAGCAGTAACACATTTCAGTAAGCTTTAAACCATTAGAATCTCTCAACCTAAATGCCAACCTTCTCTTGCAATCTTAAATTTCTCCAACATTAACATCAGATAATGTACAGATAAAATCAAAAATCACAAAATAATTTAATTATCAAACAACAAAACTGTCCAAAAATTACACTATAATAAGAAAATTTCAAGTCCAATCTGATACATTTCATATAAACTGCTTAGAATGACCTATCAAGTAATTAAGAACTCAAAAGAGCTGAAAGAAAATCACAATTCATAAAATGCCCACAAAATTCATCGAAACCCAAAATATCTTCCCAAAATCATCACAAATTCACAAGAAAAGCCACCAAATATCCAAAAATTCAACAGAAATTCTTACAAACATAATAAACCAAACATTAAGCTCCAAAATCAAGTCAATTAATTCAATCCAGATCCACTTTCGATACCAAAACAAAGAAACCCAAACAACTAAACAAAATCTTACTCGAACAAATGCCATTACAAACAAATATCCCTAAAGCGAGAATTACAACCATTAAAATCACAAACATCGGTAAATGAACGAATCGCATAGTAAAAAAAGATGAATAAATAACCTAAAAGAAAATAAATAAATGATAACTTATAATAATATTCGACCTTACATTGATGGAAAAGAGCTGCAAAAAGCTCAAAAAGCCAACGTAAAAAATCAGCCTACAAAACAGAATTGAGTCCTCGATTTCATCCGATTATGAAGAATGAGAATAAGGAAGAACAAAAATCGCAAACATGAATATAGCAATACTCAGTTTATTATACAAATATTAATTAAAAAGAGGAAAAAAAGAGAAAAAATATATAGATACCTGAGTTCAAGAAAGAAAGTTGAGATTTCTGTTTCATGCCGCAAATGAGAGAGGTTGAAAATGAAGGACTCCGCAGTTGGGCCGGCCCTGTATAGAAGCTAAGCTTTAGCTAAGTAAAACCTGTTGAATTTACTCTTTTATTTAATCTTTAAATTTTATTTGATAATTTATTATATTTTATATTTTTTATTTTAGATTTTGTTAATTATTTATTAAATTTATATAAATTATTAAAAAATCATTTTTTTAATTGATAAATTTATTAATACTTAACTCCTTTTTTATTTAATATTTTATTAATTTTTAACTTGCACACTTCTAATATCTAAATTATAAAAACTAATAATATAGGAAAAATGTATCTAAATTATAAAAGGTAATAATATAGAAAAAAAAAATTTTCACTGGTTAAATGAAAAATAAATGGAGTTCAATGAAATAAATTTTAAATTTTAAATTTTAAATGGAGGATATAGAAAAAAATGATTAAAATTTATTAAGAAAATTATGTTTTTTTTAATAAAAAAGGTAAGATACTAAATTGAATTTAAGGGTAATTTGAAAATTTTAATGTAATAAAACATTTGATAAATTAATAAAATAAAAAAAAAATCTAAATTTTTAAAAGTTTTAATATTATTTTCAATTTTAAAAAAAAAAATCTACATTAAAAAAATATTTTTAACCAGTTAAAAAAAAAATTGTAAATATACTCCCCAACCTAATTTTTAAAACTTAAAAAATACTTCCTATTAATATACTCGTAAACGTTTTAAGAGTATTAATATTAAATCTTTCGTTTTCATATATATTAGTTAAATTTGATAATTTTTAATTATTACGGACCATATTAGTAGATTGTGAATTAGTTATGGTTTAATGTAGCACATAAATTTATCCAAAATCAACGGTAAAGAGGTGGAATTGAGGATAGAAAATATTAAAAATTATGAATAAAATAAAATAACAATTATTTAATTTTGAAATTTGCTGGGTTTAAATTAGGAAAGGTAAAATAAATAATTCCAAAAGATATCAAACCATATTATTATTTTATTTATATGACGTTGTTGAGATATAATATTTGGAGAGTATATTAGTTATAGAATATATCTTAATAGTATTCTTTTATTATTTGATTTATAGTATATTTTATTTTATTCTCAATATTTAATTAGTTTATATTTTTCTTATCGGTAGATATTAATTTATAAGTTATATCTTAATATTTATACAACTAAATCTATTTAATACTCTATACATCTTCCCGTTAATATTTATATTTCTCATTCTTAATAGAAAGAGATGTAAATATTCAACTAAATCTATTTAATACTCTATACATCTATACTGTATCAAAAAATATCACGAGTTATATTTACATTTCAATTATTAATAATATTTTTTAGAAAATTATAAAATTATAAAATGAAATTATGTTTTTAATTAATTAGTGGGTTCATTCCCATTTCAACCATTAATAATATTTTTTAAAAAAATTATAAAATTATAAAATGAAATTATGTTTTTAATTAATTAGTGGGTTAATTCACATTTCAACTATTAATAATATTTTTTAGAAAATTATAAAATTATAAAATAAAATTATGTTTTTAATTAATTAGTGTTCATTCCCATTCCAACTACTAATAATATTTTTTAGAAAATTATAAAATTATAAAATAAAATTATGTTTTTAATTAATTAGTGAGTTCCATTTCTATAGGGTGAATGGTTAAAATTTAATACAAACTTTTTAATACATAATATTTTCGGGATATAAAATTTCTAATGTAATCATTAACATAATATTATACAAATGTTACGATTTAGTAGCGGTTTGTACGAGCATAAATACTTTTTTAAAATTTTGAGAGTAATAAATTTGTTTCAACTATTTAAAAATCAATTTTTAAATTAAAAAGAAAAAATGGTCGTAGATAATATCTACGTCAATTCAAATTATAATATTTTATTATAATATCTTATAATAATTAGTTGGAAAGAAATATATATTATATATGGATAATTAGTTAATATTTTTTCGTTTATGATTTAATTAAGTATATTTTATTTTATTCCAAAAATTTAGTTAATATATATATATATATATATATATATATATATAT